ATATTAAATTATTTATAAAATTTATATAAAAAAGTTTGAAACAAAGAAAGTAAAAAGAGAAAAGGTGACGAAATAGGAAATAGAATAACAATTAAGGGATTTCATTAACTGATGTATATATATAGGGATGCTCTTGCTTCCCTAAACTCAATAGAACGAACTGGTGCTCACATGAATTCTAAAGAGGAGATGCACCTTCTGGGATGATTATTTTGGTCAGTGGCTATGACCGAAATAATGAACTATTTCGGTCATAGGCACTGACCGAAGTTAGGTGACTTATTTCTCACAAACATAGCCCAAGCATTGCTTGGTGTACTATGGTTGGCTTGATTTGGTCATAATTCTTGACCGAACTAAGCAAACCATGTGGACTAGTTCGGTCATAATCCTTGACCGAACTAGTGCATGCATGCGCAATTGTGCTTCACGAATTCAAAACAAAAATAAGCGCATTGGGTTTAGAATTATGCATATTTCGGTCATAATTACTGACGGAAATAAGCACATAAAAATTGATCCCCCCCCCCCCCCCCGAATGCATGGCTGGGGATATGCTTATGCATATTAATTCGGTCAAACATATTGACCGAATAAATATGGGAAAAAAATATCTCATCGAACCGACATGGAGGGTTGGATGGTGATAGTCTGAGATTTGTTTGGTCAAATAAATTGTCCATAAAAATTGCTTTTTTTCCTGTTTTAGTCAAAAGTTCTAACTGGCATTGAAAATTTGGTTTTCGTGTGAAATTTGATTATTGATTGGAAGTAAGATGCTTTCATATGCCAAATTTTTTTTTTTTTTTTTTTTGTATCTTTAGTCAATATAATAGATGTTTGCTCTTTGCTTATAAACTGTCTACTTCTTCTTACTCGTATAGTTTGGTGCTTTGTAAATTTTATCAATCTTATTTTGCTGCTGGGAAGAGAGACAAATTAAGAGCTGTTGCTATTTGTTGAGGTATAATATTTAGTAGTTTTTGAGGATTTTAATTTAAGAAAAGTATGAGTATCTACAATCTTTCATTTTTTTTCTTTTGAGTCTCCATTATTTGACCTCCTTTTAACTACTTTTTGGCAATAATTTAATTTTAAATGCAATATTGAATTATTATTAGCAATTATGTTGCACACATTTGTCCAGATGTAGTATTTTCTCTAGTTATTTTGGGTTGAGGTTTGTTAAATTTAATGTTATAATTTTTTTGGTAATTTAGATTTAATCAGAAGAACACATGATATTTTTAAATGTGCTATTTGTACTTTGTCAAAGTACTTAAATTTTTGGTTTCGGGTGCATCTATCCCACTCAAATAAGTAATTTCTTATTCATTTTTTTGAATTAAAAATCAGTCAAACTACAATTATGTTATATAAATTTTTTTCTTTATTTTTTGTAGAAATTTAGTTTAGAAAGAAATAAAAATATATGATTAGTAATTAGGAATGTATGATTAAATAAATCAA